ATTCTAAATTAAGAATTATATAAACAGGTGTCAGAAGGAAAAACATTTTGAAGCAGAAATGTAGCTTTTTTGTCTCTGTACAATTGCTTCCTTATCTACCAAGAAGCATGTACTGTACACTGCATCACAATGATCATGTCAGCACGCTGTGTATCATGATGTGTGCAGTGCGGTTAACACACACTGAAAGCGCCTCCACTCTGCAGCATCTAGTTGATGCAGTATCCTGAGTCTACCTCTTGCAATATTATTCCTCTGAACCTTGGAATGAGGGATCTAAGTGTCTGTGCACACACAAGTTCACATCCTATCATTAGTTGCAACCACCAAGCTTCATCTGTCTGCTGAGGGAAGTGCAAATAGAGCAAACTGAGATGACTCCACATTAAGTAAAACATGTTAATGCTTTTAACAGTGTGTTGATGCAAATGAAAATGAACAATAACAATTTGGCCAACAAAGTAGTTGCCTGATTTTAAAGTTGCTTTATGAAACCGGTTATGTTTCCTGACGCAGTCTGCTGTGATGACATGTTTACACAGGCTGCATCAATGTGTAATGTTACATAATATGAGTGTTTCTGTCTTGAAGGCGGATTTATCTGTATGCCTGTACGTGTTAATAACCTGGCTTCAAAAAGCGACAGACTGTTCCTGCTCAAAGCTCATAAAAAATTTATTCAATTCCTGGCTAGCCCAGAGGAATGTGAATAATTAAGCCATTTAGGGTCCTGTGCATATTAGTGTGTCCATGTGTATCCTGATTGGTGCAGAGATATTACAATATTTTCTTTTACTGCTCATTCCTCTTGTGCTACGAGCAGTAAAAGATAAAAACAAACCACACTCTCCCGTAGAAACCACACAGAAGGAAGTCAAATTTATTTTATAACAATGACATGGTCATTACAAACTATTGAGCTATAACTTCTGATTTAATATGCGTCATGGTCAATGCCTGGGTGTCTGAGCCATATGCACTTAATAAGATCAATGAGATATGGCAACTTTAACAGTGAGCAGAGAACCATCAGGTGTGAGCATTGTAGTGTATGTTCTTGTTTGTAGCTCTGCTGATTAGATGCCTTCCTAAAACACATCAGGATTTTAAAATGAGCACATTATCTCCAGCTCTAGACAGGGAAAACAGAATAACAGAAACACAAGTTGACAGATTAATTATTTTTCTCCCTGTGGCTTGTTTTGTGAAACAAGTATCATTAGTATTTCATCAAGAGACCATATTATGATTAATCTTTTGTATTATGTAATCCTCTGGACAGATTTTGTCAAGTTTGGCTAGTTTATGGCATATAATGCTTCACCCAACACACTAGTTCTACAATGGAAGCACTTATTTTGAGGTGGAGAACTCATATTTGGGTTAAACATTAAAGACCAAACATTAAAAATAAAGTAAGATAAAGATTGCTTTTGCAACTTACTTCATCTGCTTTACAATGGTGCTCTTCCCAGACTCCCCAGCACCTGTTGGAACAGATAAGATTAGAGTTACAAAGGAACTTCAAGCTGTTGTCTTTGTGAGTGAAATAAAGTTGAACTGACTGTTTCTGCTTTGAAATCAAGAGCGACCCAGTGATGACCCGCCTCTAACATTGCATTTTGTCCTCTGGGTTGTCTAGTTTATTTATGTTTCCACTTCTGAGGAAATGATGTACAGCAGAAGAAGAATCCCCCTCTTCATTGTTCATTGTTATGTTTATTATTCACTCTGATAGAAGAAGGGTGCAGGGAAGAGATATGGTTTCATGGCTTTTTATAATTTTAATGCTTCATGGTACTATGGTACTTTTCCCAACACATGCTGAGTACATGATGAAAAAGTACAGGATTTAGTTACATCTAGGGGTGAGATGGCAGCTTGCAACAAACTGAACACTGCTCGCCTGACCCTCCCCTTCCAAGCATGACCAGGGTGCCCAGGTGGTCATAATATTGGCTAATCGGTGTATATGTGCCATATAGTAAAGAAGTCACCATACACACAATACACTCAAGTCAGCACAAAAACTTTTTTGTTTTGTTTCTTTGCAAAGTTTTGAACTACAGCAAGCTGTGCTTCAGTGCCATTGTTATCTTGTTGACATGAATAAGCCAGACTCTTTGGCACTTCCCTTGACCTGTCAGGACCATGCCACTATCCACTGTCCCTTCTCGCTACCTGACCCAACCCTGCCAACAAACATTAGCCCAGTCCGAGGCTGATGGAGCAAGTGGGACCAGCAGCGCTCCCCCTCATGCTGTCAACACTCATCTTATTCACACACATCGAGCACTTTTCTGAGAGAGAAACGCAGAGCAAAGGAAGGGGTGTAAACGCAAGGTCTGTAGCTGTGTTTGCTGTCATATGAGCTGTCACTCATGATTTGCTGCTAGACAGGCTCGAAGGCACAGAGGTAGCTGGGTGGATCTCCAGGTGATTTGTGTCTCAATATATCAAAAAGTATATGACAACCCAGCAGACAAAAAACAAGATTTAATAATATATGACTATTTTTTATTTTTGGCAAAATGTTCAGGTTCATTTTACCCTTTTCTCTTTCTCTATTCCTTCTGTGTTTCTAACTTATATCTCAATCCTGAAGCAAAAGCTTTTTAATCTTACTTAAAGCCAATCAAGATGAAATTATGTAACTAGGCTTCTTCTTCTATTCATTCACCTTCCTATCTCAAAAAACACAATGTTTTATCGCAGGCCTTATTAAGGCTCTTCTTTTATACTGCAATCTATTTCTACCTGGAATATTAACTTTAATTTTAGAGGCATGGATATGAACAAATAATATAAATACAGTGTCAGATTTATAGGCGCTTGTATAAAAATGTCCTGTTAAAGAATAGAAGGTGAATGGTGGAAAGTGGAATATCAGTCCCTCTGTGGACACAGACATGCATGAAGGTCACCTTCCTGACTCCAGAATAAAACTCATCCATTAATATTTCAGGTTCCCCATAGGGAGGTGAACACTTGTTAGCAGCAGTGAAAAAGAAGAGCACATGCACCCTCATTCTTCATGTTCAAGGTGTTTTAGGAGAAACAGCCAGTGTTGTTGTGTTGCTTCAGGGAAAAACTTGAGTTTTTGGAGTTGACTTTTGATTTTTTACAGTATCAGGTCATCTTATCGCAGCAGCCAGAGGGGAGTAAACAGTGCTATATAAACATTACTGTTTTTACTCATCTTCAGGGAGGAACTGATTGTGTGTAGTGATCAAAATAAATAGTATGAATTATCTCTCTGTCTTTGTGTTATATAAAAAAAGAAAATATAGTACAGGTTAACCAATATTAGATTCATATTTGAGAGCTCAGTCTTTTAACATAAAAACATATGAAGATTTTTGTTAAGGGTTGTGACCAAGATATGTACTGAGTGGGACATTTTATTGCTGAACAAGACGCTACAGGCCCACTAGCAGCTCCATGATACTGTACCTGACACAGATGATCCAATAATGTTCACCATGATCACCGTCTTAGTTCAGCATGTTGCCATGCAAACATCTGCTTGATAGCACTAAACACAAAGTACATACTACAGGACAACACACTACTGTAAATAACTAGCTGAATGATAATAAGAAAAGGATGCACCTATAAGTAGTCTTCTGAACACACTGGGAAGATGTGTTTCATGTTGCTCTGTAAGAGCAATAGTCTCGGTAAACAGTGTTACTTTTTTAAATTATTATTCCTGACATGCAGGACGTTAATTTATCCTTTATCCTGAACTACTATAATTGTTAATTCAGGTACAGACATCTCTGACAGTCAAACACTGCTAATCATCAGGGGACAAAGAGCTACTGCACAGGATTAATCAATTACCACTGAGCAGGATATTAACACAGTTTTATGTGCCAATAAAATGACTAGCTGCATAATTGATTCCAACAACTGTCTCATGTGGAGCTCAAATATTTACATGAGTATATCAATGAACACCCACTACCCAGCAGAGATCAACAAACAGCACTTCTAAAACATTAACTTCTGCAATTACAGATAAATCTGCAGAATATTCTAACTGAACAGATGTATCCACCGTACATGAAGCCCTTTGCTTTGACAGAGTTGGAGCAGAAATGAGGACTAAGTAGTTCTACAAAGACTCCTCTGTGTGCTGTGCTGGCAGAGGGGACAAGCTCTTTCATTTTAGTGTCGTTACAACAGACCCAGAATCACTTTCTGGCAACAAGAAGACGATGCTTATTCAACCCCAACTATTCAGTTGTCTTTGAATTGGTTTTCAGTTAAGTGCCAGAACACACAATAAAGATAACATGATTCATAGCATGAGGATCACAAGTGGCCCGGCTTTAAGAAAACAGAACCATCTCTCTGAACGCTTTCAGTACTCTCCACTCACATCGATGACAACTTGGCCACAGTCTCAGTTACCCACTGCTGATGACACAAAGTCTCCATTCATGGACTGATGAGATATCCTGATCGTGGCAAACACACAAACATCTACACATAGTCTCAGAGCAGACAAGGTCAATTACCTGTCAACCAGCCCACGATAAACAAGGGCAGTAAATCGGGGTGGTGGTTTCTCTGTTAATGCTGAAACAATTGGATGGTGAATTAAGAAAATTCCTTGTCACAATTCTGATAAGGAAGAAATCATTTAAGTTACTAATCAAGAAAAAAAGTGATAATTTGTTGCTTTTCGCTGGTTTATATATTTGTAAATCGAATGATTAATCAGAAAAAAGAATGAACATTTTAATTAAAATAATTGTTAGTTCCAGCCATACTCTATTATACAATCATTCATCAAACTAATAACAGTAATGCATTGTGATTCTGACTGTTTGGAGTCACACTGTCTTGACCAGCTGTAACTTAATTGTTTGATTAATTGCAAAAAACTTACTTAAGCATAAAAACACCAACTTAATCACCTGCAGCGACACTTCTGACTTAACTCCTCATTCTAAACACTGTTAGAACACCCACAAGGAGTGTCGGATCTGTGGGATAGAGCATTAATTTCCACACGCTACCTTCCCCTAGCGAGGCTGCTTGTCTTTTGGTAAAAGAAGTGGCGACATGACACGTCTTTTAGAAGAGATAAATTATTGTCCTTCTATATCCTCCTCAGACAAGCAGGGAGAGTTAACAGCGACAAGGGCGGACATGGCCTGTCCAAATTGGGGAAAAGGAAATAGAAAAACTGTCAAAAAGCATCAGTGACACCTGACTTCTTACGGCCTGTATTTGATCCATATGCTTTAATTATGAGCTTGGGGCCAATATAAGTCACATTGCTAAGAATAGCTGCGTACAACAGGGAGGAGGTAAAAACTGCTCTGGTGTAGCTTACAGGGCACACATTCCCTTTGGAAAAGCTGACAGTACCACCTTAACTCTATAAGGTGTGGAGATACTGAGCAAGAGACAAACCAGCATCTATCCAGCACAAACTGAAAAGGACCAAAGAGTCGTTCATCACAATTTAAAATTGAATGAGATGGATGACAATATGGAGTAAAGCTTGAGAAGAAAAAGCACTGTCATTAAAAGGCTGTTAAAGGAGATAGAAGACGTTGGCAGTAAAGGTGGACAACATAGTGACAAATGAGCAGGAGATGGAGGGGGAGGATGACGATGCAGAGAAACTGAGAGTGTGAGAGGATTGGGCATGGAGGGCACTGGTTAAGAGAAAAAGTAGTGTGATGAGGACTAACAAGAGTACCTGGTAAATTCATGAATATTCATAACAGGTTTTCTGCCAGTTTGCGGATACATACAGAGTTCAGTTGCAAGTTCAGCAACTACGAGCAAAATGAAAAGCGTGATTGGTAATGGAGGCTTAATATTTAGAGTGTATGTGTTGGAATGAGTAACAGTCAAGTGCAAGCTGCAAAGCATTCATTAAACAGCAGTGGGCAATCACTTGTTTTGTTCTTGCTTTCTCGAATTTGGTTTACTATAAGCAAGTGCAAATATGATCAAGTCACAGGACAGCAGACTGTTTAAGAGAGCTCTAAAACTCCCAGTGCAGACTACTCTTACAAAGCTCGCCACTAAATGACCCGATTATTATAGTTTTTAATAAAGCCTACTGTTGTACTTCCCCAGAACCATCTCTAATTATGGCACTAAAACCTAAATGAGTGTGTCACTTCTATTAATTACGATACCTCTCCCTCTTAAGTTTAATGACAAAGAAATGAGAGGAAACATATTCTAACTTGATTTTGTCTATTAGCAATTACTAATTTAATTCTTTGACCCCACACCAGTTTGGTCCTGCTGTAAGAAAACACAAAGATTGGTTATGAATGGGAAATTGTGGAGTGAGTGCTTCCTAATATAAAGTTGTTACCACTCAGCTCAAGGAAGAAATTATTCTACAATTATGACAAGCTCTCATGTACTATTTTAAAGAATATCTTTGTTAATTCGGCATGTTCACTCATCTTGTGCATTTATGGTATTATTGGGATGTTTTGATTGA